TTGCCTGGTCCCCCCCCCATCATTGGAATTCTTAATCAAGAGAAAAAGCAGCTAATGTGACCTCTGACATGACGTAATGCAGCCAAAAACGTCTGCTCGGGCTCTTTGCAGCCAGACAGAAAGCAGGTGCTGTGCATAGCAAAGAGAAAGCTTGGCTTCACCCCGTGCCCGCTGCCAGACTTCCCAGCTCCGGATGGAGATTTTGGGATGGGAGGATGGACCACTCCTGCCTGAGCTCCGTGTGCTGGCGGAGAGCAACGAGCAGGAGACCTCCCATCAGTGAGACAGCAGGAGGGAAGGGTTGGGGATGGCACAGAGCAGAGGGAATGGTTATTGCAGGCTCTGAAAAAAAATCGCCCCGAAAGTCACATTTCATGAGAAAAGTTCTGAATTTAAGAAAAAAAAAAACAACTAAAAAGTCAAACTTAATCCTGAAAAAAACCCCAAAACCTTCATGCGTGTGTTTGTTACTGCCCAAGAAAGTGAAATACAGAGAAGCGTGGAAAACGTTGTGGTTAAAAGCCCGTATCTGAGTTTCCCTGTGGTTTTACACCAGGAAAGGTAACGTTACGTGGGGAAACCATCCCCAAGCCAGCAGGGACACCTTGGGGACAGCAGGCGCCCGTGTCCCAGTCGGGGCACATCGTGCACAGGGTCTTCAGAATTCACGGCAACGGGGATGGAGCCAGTTCCTATTTAGCTTTTTGCTCCAGGCACCTCTGCCAGGTTCTCCACTACCTTTATATTTTTGGAGCTTACAAACGGAGAGCGAATCCACCAAGGTGTCACTTGCCATTTTGCACTGAAATACCGTTTTTGAAATCTGAGTAAAAGGGAAAAAAATATCCCAGGCTGTGCCCTTCTGTTTCATGCCTTGCCAAAATGAGTTTTGCTGGGGAATTGAATTCACGACACGTAACGGTACAAAGTCACGGTGACTTGGGGGAGAGGGATGGGCCACAATCAAACGTCACATCCCTAAAATCCTGGGAGAAATATGGCTCCAACCACAGCCCACAGCTGGCAGTGAACTGAATTGTGACCGTCTCAGCCATTCCCACCCCTGAGCATCCCCCAGGACCCTGAGCTGGCTCCTTCCTGGTGGAGAAGGATTAGAGCAGCTCCTGGGCCATAACGCCACGATCCTCTCCAGCTCACCTTATTGTCATCATCCCAAACTGGTCACGGGGCTGCTCAGATTTCTTTATTTTATCCCTGTTATTGCCAAACAACAAAATGCCAGCCCTTGCACAAGGCAATCAAACCCCATCGGCTTCAGAGGGCTGGGCCAGGTGGAGCTGGTACCCAAAGGCACACGTGCCACCGTTAGCCAGGATGCTGCCAGCATCTCTCTCCGGCCAAGGGACACACAAACCAAGCTGACCTGCGCATTTCCCTCCTGATGGGTTTCCTTCCTTTGAATTTTTTGCCCCCCGGCAAGGGTGAAGCTGATGGGTCTTTTGCACCGGAGATGATGCGAAAGCTGCCCGGCGATGTTATTTACAGCTCGGGAGATAATTAACATCTGGAGAGGGAGTCGCATCTCCTGCCATCTGTCACCTGTCATGAAGCTACGGAGGATGCAGGTGAGCGACATGGCCAGGCAGTACCTCACAGGAGCCGGGCTTTGCCTTGGGAAAAGGACAGTTTCGATGCCACTGTCCCCATCACTGCCCCAGCCTGACCAACTGGAAGACAGGCTTGGCCTCACTCCAGACCTGGCACTTTGCTGGCTCAAACACGGCAGCGATGGGCAGCGGGGCTCGGGGCAGCCC